ATTTTAAAACAAAACCACCCTCAGTAACCTTATCGTAAGCTCGAATCCACAACCCATCTGTTAACTCCCGGCGCTGCCCACATAGGCTTCCATCAGACAGCAGTGCCAGGGATTTTTGGAACGTTTTCCCCCAAATCCCTGCGGTCGGAAGGGGACAGTCCCGGGGAAGGGGCAGATCCTGAGTCTCGGATTCCCAGCCCACCAAACCAGCCCCCAGACTCTCACCTTCTAGTGCCTCTGTGAATAACTGCAAATCCCCCTGGACACGAGCTGTCGCGGTCCTGTGACTCCCAGCCCTGTGGAGGAGCGCTCGGGAGAGCTGCTGCTCCACGGATGGCTGCAGGGAATTCAGCCTTTTTAAACATTTTGTTACTGCCTGAGTCGTGTGGTGTAAGGGAGCCCTCCATGTAGAAATAATTCAGCAAACACAAGCGAGAAGGCGAATTGATGATTGCATCAGTCCTTGCTCATGAAAGCTGATCCCCAGGAAAATGTAACTCAACTCTCGAGCAATCTCACTTGATGCCCAAGAATGCAATAACTTCGTTTGGATCCTCCTTTTAGGGGGACTCCTAAATCCTTGGCAACATCCCTTAAGGTCATGAGCAAATCCTGATATGGAGAATTGTTTGGCAAGCACGAGAACAGTAAAAGGGCTAAATAATTGGGGATTACCTCTGACCCTGATTTGTGGCTCACCACCCACTGCAGGAATGTACCGAATATCTGAAGGAGCATGCAGGAGTCAGACAATCCACGGGCATGAAGCTGTCCACGTACTCTTGGAGCCTGAACTTTAAATGCAGAGCAGGTTGGCCCCAAACCTCATTTTTCATTAGCAAAAGGCTGCAGCAAGCTCTAATTATTTCTGTTGCCTTGGACAAAGGGTCAGTGATGGGACAGATGAAAAATTGTCTGTGTTTTTTTCACCCTTTGTTTGGAAAATAACATCTTTGGTCTTGAGGGCACAGAGAGAAGGAACCGTCTGCTCCAGGGCTCCTTCCTGAGGCTGGATACGATCCCCTGAGCTGCAGCAGGGGCAAACACATCACCCCCACGTCTCCTGGTGGTTATTGCAGAGTCTGTTCAGTGCCTGCAGCTCTGCTGTGGGAGGGCACAGCTCGGAGCTGTGGGTCTGTGCTGCTCTGAGCTCCGTGCTCAGCCCCAACTCCTCTCCTCCATGGTGCACCAGGGCTGTGGCACACAGAGACCCTCAGGGTCCTGCCCAGGGCAGGGGGGTGGATTGAGACGTCTTTAAGGTCCCTCCCAACCCAAACCATTCTGGGATTCCACGATCCTGGCCATAATCACCAGGTTTGCAGGCTTGGATGTCAAACACTGAGAGGACCATGCTGAGTGGGACAAGCCAAGCATCTGTTTTGTGGGAACCCCATGTCACTGATACAGTGCTGTGTGTTCACACTGGAGGGGATTTTGGGCTTTTATAGACCTTACATTTATAGCTAGCATCTTTCTGAGGCTCTGGCTTCCCTTGGGATTCTTCCTGGTAACAGCAGACACCTTTGGACGGGGGTAAGCCTTAACAGCCTGTCTCCATCACCCATGTAAAACCTCTCTGTGCTCTCATGTAACGCCTCCTGCCCTCGGACTCCTCCCGAGGTGGAGCAGCCAGGACTGCAGGAAATAGCAGCAGCTCAGTGCTGGAGCTCTGCTGTTCCCTTATCTCGGTAAATGCACCTTTTATCAGCTGAGCCTGTCTCTACTTGCTCAGCACTCAGCAGGGAAGTGACCACGGCCCTTCAGGAGAGCTCTGCCTTGGCAGGTACACACAAACTATTATCATTGCTCAGCGTTGTGCAACCGCTGGCGTCCACGGGCTGGCACGGGCATGGCATCTCATGGGAGGGTCTGGGCTGGAGGGGACCTTAAATTGTCATCATTCCACCCCTGCCATGAGCAGGGACACCTTCCACTTGACTGGGTTTTTCCATGCAACACTTCCAGGGATCCAGGGGCAGCCACAGCTTCTGTGGGAACCTGTGCCAGGGCCTTCCCACCCTCACAGGGGAGAATTTCCTGCTGATCATAGAATCCCAGAATGGTTTGGCTTGGAAGGGACATTAAAGCCCAGCTCATTCCAATCCCCTGCCATGGGCAGGGATGGATACCTTTCACTGAAGAAAATTACTCCAAGCCCTGGATACCCCCAGCGATGGGGTCCTACCACCCCGAGAGTTCCCTGCAGCCCCACCACTTCCCCAGAGCCACATTTTAGCAACTCTCACTTATTTAATTTTTTCCCCCACACTTCCAAACTCCCATGGCTGCAGCTTTCTCTGAGTCTGTGTTTTGTGCCTGTGCTGCTTTGGGGGGGGGTGATTTTTTTTTTCCCTCCCCGATCTCGGGACTCAGCAGCGGTACTGCACGGTAGGGCAGGGCACAGTATGGCACAGCATGGAACGGTATAACCCTTTATGGCACGGTATGGCACAGCACAGTACGACACTTTATGGCATGCTATGGCACAGCAAGGGACTGCTGTATGGCAAGGCACTGTATGGCATGGCACAGCAAGGAACTGTATAGCACGGCACTGTATGGCACGGCATGGCACGGTATGGCACAGCACGGTATGACACTTTATGGCATGCTATGGCAGAGCAAGGGACTGTATGGCAAGGCACAGTATGGCATGGC